TAGGCGCGGTAGACCATTTGCTTGGCACTTCCGGGTATTTCTCCCTGTTAACAATACCGTGTAACTGTCAAGCTTGAAGGGGATTAACATCGATGTAATACATGAATGTAGCCTTTGTTTCTGCTGAAAGAGGTGTCGACCAGCTAGGGCCACAAGAACATCGGCGAAATCGAGTGTGAGGATTAAAAAATAAATTAAAAACATCTAATTTTGAAAATAAAAACCGACCAATAGGCGCGGTAGAGCCTTTGCTTGGCACTTCCGGGTATTTCTCCACTGGTTAACATGGGTTAACAATATCGTGTAACTGTCACGTTTTGAAGGGACAAAACCGTGACATAGCTGTGTCCCAATTCAGCGGCTGCATCCTCCTGAGCATGCATTCGGAGTCCGCATACGTCACTTCCCCCAAACGAAGGCTGTCCCAATTCAAAAAAAAGACAAGACTCCTCCGAATGCGGCCCGCAAATGCACCCTTCTTTCCCCAGATTTAGAGGATACATCTGATGTACACTCCGCGGTCTACCATATCCCAGGATGCAACGGGTGACGGTGACGAATGAGTTTTAAAAAAAATATATGGCTTGTAACGTCCCATCAACGGCTACAACGGTTTCAGCTGGATGCGTTTTTAAATGTAAGTATGGGGTTTCAACTCACCCAAATAGTAAACGACATGAAAGAAAAGTAAACCTATTTAATTTGTGTATTTAAATATACGGGTTAGATGTCTTCTTTATATTACATACATAAAATAATATGAAGTGAAAATATTTCTAAACCCTGTTTGGTTTTCATATTGTTGGGATTCATTATAAAGCTAATTTATTTATTTAACTGCTTTTGTTTTACAAATCTTACTGCAACAATTTTGTTTTGATAGGGAGCAAGGAGCAGACTACGCAATTTATCCAGATGCGCGGGGAGAATGAAGCCCTCTTCACGGGGGCCAAATTCTCCGCCAGCATCGCTTGGAGGTAAGGCACAATATCCACTTTGTATGGTTCTTATTTTATGAATCATCCCTCATTTCATACAGTCCATTCTAATAACACAACTAGTATATGGGACAATGCCTTATTTCTTTGTTGTATTTGTGTAGGGATGGCTCCATGCCACCATTAAAAACAGAAAGAAGATTTCTTCCTAAGTGTGTGTATCTTTGTGACATTGTTATTGTTTTATTCATAATACTAGATTTTTGACTGCTCTCTCTGTAATTAGGACGGTTTTGGAAGATATGGGCCCGCAGGGAAGTGTTAGTCCCCTGCAGGCTAAGAAGAAGTGGGACAACTTAAAAAAAAGATATAAAGTATGTGAGTTTTACAAGTTAATAAACACATTTGCTGACATTTGTTTATCTGCTGGTGTTTTTTTTTGTACTGCCATGATTGTTTNAGTGGGGCAAACGTAGGACCCTATACCATGGCGCCTCCACCATTGTAGTCTACCATACGGAGAGTCTTAGACCCCGTTTCTTTCCAGCCGCTCAAAACGCCTCCTGCGGCGTACAGCCTCCTCCATGACGAGAAAAACAAACTTAAACCCTGGGAAGCCAAACCGTCTTCACTGCATTACGCTGAGGCTTACGTACGTAGATCCTCCCTACGGCTCGGCGACTTTCAACCTGTGTCGAATCCATAAAGACTCCCGAAAGAATCTGTCACAACGTAATACAACCAACAACAAGCCATTCAAACTGATTCAATCGCGGTACAATCACCAAGTGTAATCTGTGGTTGTTCTCGTGAAACAAAGTATGAACACCAACTGACTTCGTTCTCTAGATCACAATCGGACTGTATCAAAGGGACCTTAGTTAGGGTCAAGTAAGGTATAATAAAAGTTTCGTCAATATATGACACCGCCTCTCCCCACCCAGCATAACGCGTCTGCGCTCTCTGCAATCTAGGGTCGGGCACGTCAGTGTACATACACAGGAACACCCTTCTATGACTACGAGGACTCAAGCAGGCTACTACAATCGAAGGGCTCCTCGTTCACCATGACGAGCGTATTTACTACCCCGCACTTCCCACCAACTTTTCTGGGGAGTTTCATCGTCAGGGTAAATCGTCTTGGTGTCCACCTCGTGCTCGATGAACACACGTCCCCAACTCACATTCTGCCTGGATACCTCTAAATCTATGAAATCCATCACATTAAAATATTTTCATATACAACACATAATAGACACGTCGCATCTGCAGTTCGATTATTGTTGTGATAAATTGTATGCATTAAACAAAGACTTGTTTGTTCTGTGTGACAAACAGGCAGACGTGTTCCTGGACAGAGGAGCTAGAGTACTGAGCCGTTACACATGCGATTTGCTTTTCTCTGCAAAAACTAATAAAACCAGTAGAAAGACGGGTAATACAAGTCTCATCAAAATATTGAATTTTTGCGCGTCATTGCTCTATCCAAAGTAACGCAGTATCATGCACGACAATAGATTGTGTTACCATGTATAGACGCACTACATTCGTTTACAATTCACGCTCATTTGAACATTAACACAACAAAGCATTGTGACTTTGAAGTTACTCCTCGGATCAGTACTTATCATGAAGAAAGGTACAACAGAAGACAGCCGCAATGCAGACTACTATTTAGGACCTCATCGTCCGCTACTATGCACGCAAACTGGACAACCTCCCTGCTCCCGTCAGTTGGTCATGAGAGACACTTTCCTTACATAATAAGGATAACTCAACGTGACCAGGACACTCCTGTCAATTTTACCATCTAGTAGTCAATTCCGATGTCGGGACGCTCTCGGACTGATGCTGCCATGTCGGCAAGTCGACTGAACCAGAGAACGCTGGCCGTGTCCCTGTCGGTTATAAAACTTAAGGGGGGTGTTTATAGACGTGTAGGTGATTAAGTCGGGCCCACAAGTGACCCTGTGACTTGTGTCTAGCGTTACTCGAACAAGAGATTCGCAAAGTTCTTCTACGAATAGATAATGGCCTCTCTAAAGTTGCCTCTGGTCTAAATTCAATTTTTCTAGACTAATTTAAATATGTTGTTGCCTGTGATCGACTTAGAGTATTTCCTTCGTCGTCGTTTTCGGTTAACTTGGCCATCTCAGGAGCGAGACTCACGTGTATTATTTTCTCAAGCGGGACAGGACACCCCCCTTGGAGAACACCACCTAGTAAGTCTCATGAGAAACGGGAGAGTAAAGTCTGACAAAAAAAGTGGGTCCTGTCCACCCTCTACACTGGAATTAGCGATAATGATGTAGGACGGTCGGAGGATATTGGTGCAATAGTGATTACGCGAAGTATAAAGTCTGCGACTAGGAGGACGTGTTACTTATTCCGTGTAGGATATGTTTGGATCTTTTTCTACTCGTTCATTATTAGAGTGAAGTAAATCCTGATCTGCAATACACTTGAGACTATTTATCCCGAGATTCGCACAATCACGCAAATATTACGTCTTCGACCTGGAGTTTATATGTGGCCGACACCCGGAGGTTCTCGAACGTATTAACAGATAATGTACCGGTGTGGTTGTTATTTGTCTAACAAACTATCTTTTGTTGATAAACTGACGAATAAAAGTTAAGACATTCTGACATAATCACAGCGGATGAAGTCATCACCGTTTTCCGATTCACCTGGCATAACTTAACTTTATTCAAACGGGGGGGCTTGTGTGGTGACCACCTATTAATACACTGGGACATCATTCATACATGGAACTACAGTTGGGGCTACTGTTCCCACACGGACATGTTATGTGTTTACTATATATGTTGTGTGCCCTCCTGACTTCACTCTCTCTTCTTCCCGGACTGCAACCGGACAACATGTCCTTTCCGGCTCTTAAATAAAGTACCCTTTTACACCATCATTGCACCGCCTCTGACTCCCTATCTCTCGGCACTACAACATACATAAAATAATATGAAGTGAAAATATTTCTAAACCCTGTTTGGTTTTCATATTGTTGGGATTCATTATAAAGCTAATTTATTTATTTAACTGCTTTTGTTTTACAAATCTTACTGCAACAATTTTGTTTTGATAGGGAGCGAGGAGCAGACTACGCAATTTATCCAGATGCGCGGGGAGAATGAAGCCCTCTTCACGGGGGCCAAATTCTCCGCCAGCATCGCTTGGAGGTAAGGCACAATATCCACTTTGTATGGTTCTTATTTTATGAATCATCCCTCATTTCATACAGTCCATTCTAATAACACAACTAGTATATGGGACAATGCCTTATTTTTTTTGTTGTATTTGTGTAGGGATGGCTCCATGCCACCATTAAAAACAGAAAGAAGATTTCTTCCTAAGTTTGTGTGTCCTTGTGACATTGTTATTGTTTTATTCATAATACTACATTTTTGACTGCTCTCTCTGTAATTAGCACGGTTTTGGAAGATATGGGCCTGCAGGGAAGTGTTAGTCCCCTGCAGGCTAAGAAGAAGTGGGACAACTTAAAAAAAAGATATAAAGTATGTGAGTTTTACAAGTTAATAAACACATTTGCTGACATTTGTTTATCTGCTGGTGTTTTTTTTTGTACTGCCATGATTGTTTTACTCTGCCTTTAGGATTGCAAATACCCAGGGTCAGGAGAGGGAGTCAGTGGGAAACCCACTGCTGCAACTTGGCCATGGTTTATCCAAATGGACGAGATATTAGGACAGAGGCCCTCCATCTGCCCCCCTGTCCTAATATCCTCCATGCCAGAGGACACGCCACGGCCAAGTGCAGCAGTGGGGGACCAAGAGGAGGACGAGGAGAGGATGAGGATCGAGTTGAGGCAGGGCCATCCCGGCCTAAGAAAAAAAAACAGGATGGGCTAATGGACCTCATCCGAGAAGACATGCAGCTGCAGAGGGAGGCAGCCCAGGAGAGCAGGGAGAACATCAACAGGCTTTTTACTCTGCTAGAAAGATTAGTGGACAAATAATGTAATAAATAAATAAATGTAATGAGCAATATGAAACTTATGATTTATTTAATTGAACAACATAACATACAAATAAAATAACATACAAATAAAACAACATTTAAACTATATACATATTCAGGCTGAGCAGGGAGTCCCAGGTGGTGCTGCTGGACCTGGCTGCCACAATTAAGACCCTGGTGTCCTCTGACGGTGGGTGGGGCTTCATTTTGGGGTGGTCTCCAGAGCTGTTGGGGATGCTTCTCTCCACGGTACATCGGATTGTTGGGCTAGGGTTCGCAGGGCGGACGCAATCGACGGCTGCCATGTCACTAAGATGTTTTCAGCAGCAGATAGGAACAAAAGATGTATATAAATATTGCACAAGGTTATTTTATCACAGCTCGTCAATTGTTCTACATACCTTTACACATAATCGTGGTCACCAGGAACCTCCTCCAGGGCAGACACCTCTGCAGACAGTTGGTCCCGCCAAGGAGCACCACTGACTGCCTCCAACACATTCTCCCCCTCATCCTCCGCTACATCCTCCACAATGTCCTCTTCTGGGGCCATGATGTCGCCGGCCCCAATGCAGATGTTGTGGAGGACGGCACATGCTGTTATGATCTGAAATGTTTAAATTGGCAGAAATATATATATATATGTTATACCTCATGTCAGATCTACTCTTCAGTATTATCAGAATGTCCTAATGAGTGATTACTTACTTGAGGAACAAAGGTGTGGTGCACCTCCAGCGCTTGCAGGAAGATACTCCTGAATCTTGTTTTCATCATCCCGAAGGCACGCTCGATGATGCAGCGTGCCCGGGAGTGATGGCTGTTGAAGCGCTGGGGTCCCACACCTTGCAGCGGCCGTTTGTAGGGAGTGATGAGGGGAAGTGGATGTTGGAGGCAGGGGTACCCCCGTCTGCGAGGATATAGTGCCCTGGAGGAGGGTAGAGTGCCCGCCGATAGAGTGGGCTGTGGCGGAGCACTCTAGAGTCGTGGACTGACCCAGGCCAGCCCACGTATGTGTCAATGAAGCGGCCCTGATGGTCACAAACAGCCTGCAGCAAAATTGAGCTGAACAGTTTCCTGTTTCTGTAACAGTGACCATCAGGGCCGCTTGGTGGCACGATGCGAACATGGCAGCCGTCGATTGCTCCAGCAGCTTTCCTGAAGGCTCTGTGTCTGGCCAGCCCTGCAAACCCACACGACACAGCCTCCAGGTCTTCTTCTGTCCTGGGGAGGTGGATGACCTGGTGGCGAATGGCCACCACCTCCTCAGTCACTCTGTGGACAATCCGATGTACCGTGGATCTAGGCATCCCAAAAACTCTGGAGACCACCCTGTATGATGCCCCACTTGCCAGCCAGAACAGGAACACCAGGGTCTCAATTGTGACCCCCCAGCCGTGTCTCCTGTCCTGACCCAGGAGGTCCAGCAGCACCTTCAGGGACTCCCTGCTCAGCCTGAAATCAGGGCGTGTATCCTGGTCATTGAAAAACCTGTCCAGGACAGGTTTGATCCTGCAATACAGGGGCCTTGGCTGGTAGAGGGAAAGGTTGAGAAAAAAGGGTTAAATAAGTGAAGAGCATTTTTTTTCTGTGTTTATGTGTATAAATATATCTATTTACATGTTTATATATATATGTTTATTGATATATACACACATAAATATATACTACTATATTTATATATACACAAGCTATACTCAACCTGAAATTAAATTTGTATAAGTATTATATGCTAATAACATTACTGTTAGCTAAAAATACAGATACATATATTCTGTGTTTGTGTATAAATATATCTCTATAGACATGTTTATATATATATATATACTATATATATAGGCTATATATATATATATATATATATATATATATATATGTACATATATATATATGTATTATAGGCTAATATTAACATTACTGTTAGTTAAAAATACAGTACAAATATATTTATATAATATCTATATATGATAATAGATATAATTATCATTACCTGGAAATGGTCTTCCATTAATCGGAAGTAGATGGTGCGCCTGTTGCGACCTCGGGAAAATAATTTAAACATATTATATAACACCAAAATAAGTACAGCTAGATCTGACTCCATATTGAACAGTTTTGAAAACAGTTTGAAAATATTTTGCCTAGTGTCAGAAATTATTACCGGCACTTGTGACTGCAGCTGGTTGCTAGGTGACGGGGGCGGCAAAATGTAGGGGGTAACTGCCGGTGACGTACAAGGACATGCTCCGTAGACCGTCTCATTTCGCAGTGTGCGAGGCTGGGTCCTCAGGGGGACCCAGCCTCCTGAATTGGGACACAGCTACAGACACACAAACACTTGCTAATGCTAACACACACACACACACACACACACGCACACACACACGCACGCACACACACACACACACACACACACACACACACACACACACACACACACACACACACACACACACACACACACACACACACACACACACACAGCAACGCCCACCACCAGCACACACACACACAATGGCAGATGCAAGTATCAGCGAGAGCAGCAGCGCATTTACAACTTGGAGATATAACCACTATTTTCAATTTGTGGG